TATATATATTTATTTATACATTTCTTGTAGCTCCTCCTTTAGTACACCGCCAACTCCCCCATTCCGATGTCACATATCGATGAACTAAACTTACCAGTTGAATAATCTTGTCCAGTATATGCCGATAAGCAACAGGAACAGACAGCAGAAAGGAGCTGTGGGATCAAAGCAACCAAACTTGTTACCAGTTGATAAAATAGAACGGCCACTATGTACAAATGGCACAATAACAAGTACTGGTTAACATGTTACATTGTCTCTGGTTTAGGATTCTGAACATGCAACAAGCTCATTAACTGAAACAGTATCCATTTGGAATTCGTCATACTTTCTCAGCAAATGTGATATTCCTTTCATATAACCTACTGTTTGTAAGGAACGCGAAAAGCCGATGCTGGTGAACAAATTGCCCCTTAGAAAACCACCCCCATAGGAAGCGTGTGCTAAATGAGCCATATGTATAGTATCTGTTTACTTCCAACACTTCAATCTGCTCCGTGCGAATTTATTAAAAATATAGATTGCTCTGATCCGAATTAGTATTTGAAGTGGGCACTGTATACGTGTTGTTTTTGTAAATCAGATCATGATAGTGAATTGGAATGAATCAAATTCGTTAATCAAACGCTCAAATGTTCCATATATCTGTCCTACTTTGGCTGATGCTTGTCCCTGTCCCTTCTTTGGCTGCAAGGTTCCAAAAGGGTTGATAAAGGAACAAGGGATGTTTATTTTGCAAAGTATAGATTCACTTAGCTCAGTGAAACATGTGAAGCTTTGCTTACTTTAATCACCGAATCATGTGCAAGCAAAATCCATTTGCAGATGATTGGGTGTGCAAAAGCTTCTTCTTATTTACTAAGCATAATGATCAGCAGCTACTCCTTTAGCAAATCAACTCCAGTGTGTAGGACCCATAAGCTATTCAGAACTTGGCGAAACCCATAACCACATATGCTTCCCTACAGTGCTGTTTTTCGCCATTTTAAGATGATTTCAATGGTCGCCCCTATTCGGCTTTTATGCAGTTAGGCCCCTGACATGTATAAATATAAAATGGTGCTCACATTTCTGCCTGTCGGGGCGACAATAAATACAGGATTTATACAGAGGTGTATCATTATGTACATAATCGTGTATATACTTTGTTGCAGCCACGTGTTTCCCTTTGAGTAGTCTTGCGTCCCAGTGATATATATCAAATCTCATATATAATCCTCCTTCAGCATGTGACTTACTGGTCTTTAAATATTATTAGCACATATTTTTAACTGTGTGTAAAACCCTCACAAATCACTGTGACCTCGAAAAGCATGGACCGGTGGCTATATATTCTTTATTACACGTGGCCCTGGCACCAGGCCACAAAACACACATCACGGCCAGTTAATTATTCATTTCCTCGCTGGATTCAAGATAAAAGTTATTACTTAAGAAAAATGAGGACTGAGAGGGAGATTGTAGAGTTGGAACGGATCTGTACCAATGCTTTCCCAATTAAATAACGCTTGTTAATAGAGTAGTAGCACATACTAGAGCACCCACCCCATTATTCACATCAGAATTTTCTTCTTATGGAATAGATAAAAATATACGGTAAATTCTTAAGTGTTACTTAATGGTTAATATGGTGCCTTTAGTAAACTCACCTGAGAAGGTAGGATCAAATATTATTCATGTGACACTACAAGAGCATGGAAGACCTTTGTCAGGCTTCTGTCAGAGGTCACCTCTCCTGCAGAGGACTCATTTCTGGCCGACCTGTGATTGCTGGCAAAGGAGCACATATATCAGATGAAGGACTAGGGACCAGAGATGGTCAGAGGAGCAGGATCGCCTTGTTCATGTGTCTCCTTGGCAGGTCTTCCAAGGATCACAGCGCCAGAAGTTTTATGAGTGTTCCCTGCTGTTGGCCGCAGTTCTGCTGGATTGCTTTCATCTTGAGGGTCAGAACAAAGTCTGGAGGTGAGTGGAACTCAGTCCAGGAATGTATGGAGGACAGGGGAGCTGATAAAATTCCAGTTCCTAGCAGGACCAGCGCTTCAAAGCGGCGCATCTGGTGGGAGCTCCAAGCCTCTTCTCTCCCCTTTAAAACGATAACCTGACTCTGCACTTTGCTGGTGGGTCTGGGAGGAGGTGGGCTGGCTCACACCCACGCTTCATATCAACCAAGACAAAAACAGTTCCTGGCTTTATCTCACCACTTCCATGAAAGAACGATCCCCACGTGCTGGCCTATGGAAAGGTGACCTCATACAATATTAGGGCCTCTCTGCAAAAATCATATCAGGAGCCAATCCTAATTTCTGGAGTTCTAGCTCTCTTTAACAGAAGTTGGGTAGAAGCCATCCAAGGAACTACACCATCCCTGCGGCATTGAGCTTACTGCTTGAAGATTTTAAGAAGATTTTAATTCCACATTTAGGCACAAGAGATAATCGTGTGGGTTATTTTAGATGTTAAAAATGCACTCTTATTATTTTTAAGTACGTAAAATGTACATAGAAGTGCCCATGTGTCTGCTGTACCCGGCAGCAATTTAAACATGAAAAAAGAAGCCCCACTGGTTAATATTTAACGGGGTATCAATGCCCTCATTGTAAGATTACTTATTTGTAAGATCTCTAAAGCCGAGGTCATACCCTGACTACATGTTGGGTCTCCCGCAAGAGGCAAGTATTCACTCAAAAGTCGTTTATTCCCTTTATTTGGAGAAGATTATTAAAGCTTCAGTAGGTTTAAGATGAAGCCGGTATAAATCGTCATTTCCAAGGACTACTTAGGGGAGTTTCCAACTATTTATCGAGCGGACATTAAAATAAGGATAGGAAATGGCTTCCACCAGAACTTCTAGGATTCTGCCCTTTAACAGTGATAGTATTGTCTGCTATTTCCTTCCAATTAGTGAAAGAAACACTGAGATGGGAAGCAACAACAAAGGTAGTTTAAATTTCCAACCAAAAAAACTCCATTAATATCAATTTACTTCAATAAAAACTTTGTTTCTTCATCAAGTTGGAGATTTATGATAAAATCAATTACATTAAGGTCACTGAGGACCTTGTGGTTTGTCTCAGATTTCATTCCTGAGCAGATGAACCGCTTGGTAAATATATTCCGCTTTGCTGGAGGCTAGGAGAATCATTCCGAGGCAGGGGAAATGTAATGGAAGACAATTTTCTGAGAAAATACTAAGATTCGGTTTCATATTTATGCTTTAAAGGGATTTTTTTAAATCTACATGTATCGATATATATATATATATATAATCTATATATAAATATATACATTTTTATTATTATTTATTTCATTGTATATACTGCCTGTACCCACATCTCATCTCAATATGACAGGCCCTACACTGCCTGGCCCTTGTACATCTAAGATAAATCAGGAACGGCCCTTAGCCCTTTTCCACGCTTTAGCACTTGGCTGTTCAATATCCGTTTGTTGTACCTTTGCCAAAACCTGAGGAGGTGACAAATTTAACGGAAATGATGTTTGTAACTGGAAACACAGGATCTCTAAATGCAGTAACCACATGGCTACTTGAGAAATTACTGGTGCACTCTTGCATTTGCTGGAATCACAAGGGCGTTAGAGACAAAGAAGTGTCCTCTGTCCCTGTATTGGCTATTGCATTTACTAACCTTAAACTTTTTTTCTAATTATTATTTACATTTAAAACAAAAATATTTTACCCCCACTGTCTATTCATCTCACTTCGGCTTGCTTCTCCATTGACTCTCTTCTTGCATTTCCATAGAACTAAAATACTATTTTCTCATTGCATACGATTCTCCTCCCACCACTCTCTGTTTGCATATTGCTCTGTTCATCTTTCTATCTTAGCCCTCGGCCATCTACCCATATTATACACCTCCTCTCCACTCCACACCTCTCTTGTCTGATCATCCAGTTCATTCTACACTATCCACCACCCGTTTTGTTTTAAGTCTTGTGTTAAGAACAACCTGTGTAATGTATAATTTCTATATGTACAACTTTGACACAAACTTGACACAAATAAAAGCAAGCATGTATCTATTCTAACACGACACTGCAAACTCTAAACTAACTGGAAACTACTTCTATGACGTGTTATCTACACAAAATGCAAAACTAATTTAAAACAAAATGTAATAAAGAAGTGGCGTTAATGTGTCTGTTTTTAGCACACACACAAATGTTCAAGTATACTCTGAAAGTATTTGGAAATATAAAGTTGTGTTGTGTGTGATTACAAAGACAAAAGCTGTATGTTTGAGTTGGGTGTGTTGTATGTAGCGTCTGTTTATGTAGACACACTGTTAAAAAAAAAAAAGTTTGTAGTATTGTAAATGATTAACCAGAGAAATATAATGGTTGTGCATTGTGATGTGAAACACCATACTGGGCAATCCGGCTACATTCACAACGTCTTTGTTCTGCTGTGTGTTGTATGGCCCCAAAATCAACTCAAAATTCATAATTACGTTTTTAATTGTAAGACAAATATAGATGTTTCTCTTTTTCTCTTGGAGCAGTTATGCAGGAAATACATGAACAGAGAGGATAGTGACTGTGGTGGTATACATTCACAATCCACATGTAAATGTATTGTATATGTAGAGCATGACCCATATACGGATCTTCTATTTTCTCAGGTGTCTATAACACCAACACTCTATGTTACAAAAAAAGTGTTGCAGTCAGGTACAAACACAAAATACCCTATGGCTGATTTACTAAAGAAGTCATCTTTACCCTAGTCTGTGATTATCTAAATACACAACAAGGAATTATGTATTCTTTAGTCTCATAAACATGAGAGGATACTATCCATGATT